CTTCAGTAAAAATGAATCAATGTGGGGGGGGGGGAAGCAGCCCCCCACAGCTTGTCACTTTCAGAGAGGTTTCATCCGAACTACAGGAAGAAGGAGGAAGGGAGGGATGGTGTAAAGGAAGAAGGAAAGAGACATTTCAAGGTGCAAAGTTTGGAATTTCCCTCATTTTAGCCCAAAAACAAAGAACAAAACAGCTTAGGACTGAAGCTTTAGTGTGTGTGTGTGTGTGTGTGTGTGTGTGTGTGTGTGTTGTGTTGTGTGTGTGTGTGTGTGTGTGTGTGTCATGTGTCTGTGTGCGTTAGGGCAATGCATGCCCTGCTGATGGTTTTCAGTGACAGGAAGTGGTGATGTAATTGTACACAAACCAAAAGCTTTTTCACACACTCACTGTCTCCTTCTCCGTCTCTCACGAGCTGACGTCTTTTTGCCCTTCGGCCAGAGCGATGTTCCAACTCCCACAATCATATGAGCGCAGCGCAGGGGTTATGGTCGCGCTCGTTAGGCTTTGTGGTTGAGACAAACACACACACATAGAATCATACACAGAGACAAACACATATTCACACGCTCTCTGGATGAGAGCTTTGCCAACTCCTTTAATGTCATTTGAACAGTTTAAAATTATTTCCAGTTAATAGTTTTACATTTATAAAACACCAGAGATGAATGTTTATGACATTCATGATAAGTTAACAGTTTTCGGGAGCGGCTGTGGATCAGTGGTGGTCATCTTTCAATCAGTAGGTAGGGGGTTTTGATCCCCAGCTCCTGCAGCTGAATGTCTTTGGGAAAGACACTTAACCCCAAGTTGCTCCCACTGCTTCGTCTGCAGTGTATGAATGGATTAGCTGAAACACTTGACAGAGCAGCCTTTGGATTAACGGTGTGAGTGTGTAGGTGTGACCTGTGTAGGTGTGACCTGTGGTGTCAAATCTTTTGAGTAGTCAGAATACAAGCCCAAGACATTTAGGGATCAAGACCGAGTCAAGACCAAGACCATAAATGTCACTGAAAAATCATCAACTTGTGTGCAGTGGGCGTGTCACTCACTTAGACCAGAACACTGAGAAGGTTGTGACCGTAACCCGGTGATAAAAATCTAATTTTAAATTCATTAAAGTTATTTTAGAAAGAGGCGTTTTCCTTCTAATCTCAATAACGAAGTTCAAATAGAATCAGTTATATGAGGTGTGATAATTTAAAATGAGATGACCGAGACCGAGACAAGACCGAGTAAAAATGATTTCCATTCCAATACGAGACTTTCAAAGAGTGGTCTCGAGTCCGGTTTCGAGTACTACACTTCTTTTTTTACCCTTTTAATAATCTTTGAGAAGACCCTTCGTTCACTTGCATTTTTCTGAGTTTTGCTTCGTCTGTGCATCGAGCAACAGAGGAGCAGCAGCATGCAGGATCAGGAGAGTCCACAGAGGAGTGCTCCTCTTTAAGACATTCAATTATAAAAGGTTAATACTCTTAATAAAGCAGTTTCACACTCAGGACTTAATGTAGGTACCTCACAGCTTTGTGGGATGTGAGTCCAGCTTCATCTAACTTCCTGTGATCACAATCCTTTATCTGATCTGATGATGTTCAAAAACCAACATGGCACGGTTTGATTAGGTTACAGGGTCATCATCTGGACTCTGCCAGTCGGGATGCTAACTCTGATGAGATGTGCTTCAGGTAAAACATGAGACTCACCTTATCTAAAGGAGTTTAGTTGGTGGTCGCGACTAGCAGAGAGGAACAAATGCTCAAAGCTTTCACCGGATGAATCTGATTGGATTAAAAACGGATCGGGTTGGGTTCAGCCCATAATCTGTACGAGGGTCTTTCTATAGAGGTTTATGTCAGGATGTCATTTCTGGGGTTTCCCTGAGTTCCAATAATGTAATCTCTGAATAACAGCTTGTTTTAAATTTTTATATAAAGTATGTACATTAAAACTCATATGTGCTTTTCAGACATGCTCAAAAATTGTAAACATTTCTTACATTTTTTCTAGATGAGCTGCATGTGTGAACGTAAAACACAGATTTTGTCTGAATTTTTCCTACATGACCCCTAAGTAAAATTTCTAAATCGGGGTTGGGATGATGCGTGAAGGAATCACAGTGGGAAATATTAAATGGTGAACTTGATGGCATTTACTGTAGGCCTATATACTGCGACCTGTGCATGAACGGTGCAATTGAAACTGCTTCATTAAGGTTTCTGTTTAGCAGTAAGTTTCTTTTTCTCCATTGCTAAAAACTTTGGACTTTGCTGCTTCGTCTGCCATTTCAGCGTTTTCTTTTTTACATCATCTCATTCCTCTTGAGACCAACCGTCATGTGCATGTGTAAACAAGAACTCAGGAAGAATTGAGGGGGGGGGCAGCCTGCTTGAAATGTTTCACACATTTCCAGGGATGTGCATTAAAAAAATCCATCCTGCAATATATCATCATGTGCTCCTGCAAATATCGAAGCAGATGTTGAATCGATCTGGCTGCAAAGCTGTGATGACCCTTTTGAAAGACCATCGACCTATGGTGCAGTTCACAATAAAACCTTCTCCATAGCTCTTGGATTAAAATGTATTTCTCGGATCTCTGAGGATCTGATTTGAAGTGTTTGTAGGATCCGTAATACGCCTCTGCTGTTATTCTCAACAACAAAGAACATCTGTTGTAGCGAATTCTGTGTAGGTCATTATCCAAAATCACAATATGTATCGTATCGTGGGGTTGTGGGAAATACCCAGCACTAATGGGTTCATGGTTTTAGTTTATCCAAAATGTTTAAATGTTCAAGGGTGAGGACAGGTTTTGTTGCACTGCTTGAATTCTAGTTTCAACCAGTTATAATCAGATATCCCTTCCCTCTTTGTGTCACTCTTTATGTGTTTCCACTAAATACCTTACACAGTAACACCGCTCTAATCCTCATGCTCTCTCTTCACATATAAACAAGAAAAGTAAAACATGTAGGTGCAGTGATTTGTTAGATTTATGATGTTCACTCTCAAACCTCCTCTCTTCCTCCTCACATTACAGTGAGTTCAGCAGGTGATTAGTTTAGTTTGCACAAAGTTTAAAATGTTTTGGGTAGTCGTCCACGTCTTTGAACCTTGAGGTACCTCCCAGGAGCATGCTAACACACACACACACACACACACACACACACACACACACACACACACACACACACACTCAATCATGCCTTGGTCACTTTCCACCATCGTCTTTAATGGATTGAAATGTTTGAAATATGTTAATGAGATGCCAGGCTGCTCATCTCTTTGTGCGTGTGTGTGTGTGTGTGTGTGTGTGTGTGTGTGTGTGTGTGTGTGTGTGTGTGTGTGTACAAGGCGGAGGGTTGCACGTTATCTCCCATCCACACTACTTAAGCTGCATGGGGCACTTCAAACAGCCTGCAACGGGAGGGAGTAGGGTGTGTGTGTGTGTGTGTGTGTGTGTGTGTGTGTGTGTGTGTGTGTGTGTGTGTGTGTGTGTGTGGCAGAGGGGGTAGCTTTCCGTACCAAGGGGAAATGGGACTGTGATTTCAGACCAAATTAAACCACATCAAACAGGCCAGATCAAAGAGTGCACAGCCCTCGCTGTCTGTGCCAGTCTGACATCACGACAGGATGCCCACCCACTGCGCACACACACACACACACACGCGCACACGCACGCGCACACGCACACGCACACGCACACACACACGCACACACACACACACACAGAGACACACACACACACACACACACACAGAGACACACACACACACACACACACACAGAGACACACACACACACACACACACACACATTTCCTTCTTTCGAGCCCCTCTTTTGCCTAATTTTTTAAAATTCTCTCTTTTCCTTAAGTTTCTTTTTGCATCCTAAGAGTTTCATATCAACTTTCTATTCCTGTTAAATATATAAGGGCCTCATAGGGTTATAAAAACATCCACCCGCCCTGAATAAACACCATTTTCAAGTGCTTAACAGGGTTATAGGTTAACCTGGATCAAGTGTAATGTAATAAGTGTGAGGCTGTGTGTGTGTGTGTGTGTGTGTGTGTGTGTGTGTGTGTGTGTGTGCAGGGGGAGGATGGGGGAGCAGCATCCATTAGAGACACACATCTGAATTGTGATCCTGTCTGCTCCAGTCGAACCTTTGATGCTGCGTGATGCCAGTGGCTGTCAAGAGCTCTGTATGCACAGTATGTGTGACTGTATATGTGTGTGTGTGTGTGTGTGTGTGTGTGTGTGTGTGTGTGTGTGTGTGTGTGTGTGTGTGTGTGTGTGTGCGTCCATAGAGATAGCTGCATAAGGAGAAAAGGAGGGGTGGCTGCTGCTTTTGGGGGGGATAAAGGAAAAGGTTGAAAAAGGGTGAAAAAGGGAGGGTGAGGTGTTGGGAGGAGGGAGTGCAGTGATGGGATGTGTGTGTGTGTGTGTGTGTGTGTGTGTGTGTGTGTGTGTGTGTGTGTGTGTGTGTGTGTGTGTGTGTGTGTGTGTGCTTTGTAGACGGAGAACAGAGAGGTGGTGTGGGGTAAGAGGTTGATTAAGGTGAAAGAGGAACAAAGAGGAACAAAGAGTGTGATATGGAGCGCTGTGTTTACTGTACAAAGAAGTAGGAAACAGGGATACTATTTTCTCATTTATACGTTTTATATTTAATAACTGTTCAGTGAAATTCATTCTCTAAATATCGAACAAACGGGTCTGCAGGGGCGGCGGGTCTGAATTGTCTTGTAGCCCTTCAGCCCACATGCCTCCTGACTTCTGAACAATGAGACTGGACCCTTACAGAATATAGAGGTGCTCAGATTCTTGAGAAAAAAATTACTGTGATCCTGATGCTAATCCTGTTAGCTGGTTTATGGCAATTTCCATTCTGTTTTAGCATCAAGCTAACACACTACTCGGTGCACCTGCTGGAGAATAATGCACGACTGACTTCCCTTCATTAACGTGTTGTTGTTGTTGTTGTTGTGTGTTTCTTCTCAGTGCTCCTATCCTGTGTGGGAGGACTTCAGCGCCAAGGCCACCAAGCTGCATTCCCAGCTCCGGTAAGTTTCTTTAACAAATACACCAAATATAAAACATATTAACAGTTTGTCAAATACTGGGAAAAAACTCACTCAAGAATATTTAAAGCTGTATTGGACAAAATAAAAGTCTAGATGAAACTTGCTGTACATGCAGTTATTTCATGGGTTATTTATTTTTTTCTAATCCATGCTTGCAAGCTGCCTGCTTTCCAGTAGACTCTTTTGAGCACATTTACAGACTTCTTTCATATTTCATATAAAAGTATGATATTCCCCTTAGTTTTGTTGCCTTAGGATCGTGTCTCGTACCTACATCCGCTTTGCTCCGTGTCTTATCGGGAAATATGCAATCTGAAATAAAAAACATGCAGTAAAAAGTAACTGAGCACTGTCAGTCATACTGCTGGACGTGCAGCGCTTTTCTTATCAGCGCACAAACGCACAGATAAAACACTAGGTGGACACAGGGCCTTACTGTTTTCCCTGTATCCGTGGACAGTGAGTAATTACCAAGCGGCGACCTCAAGTGTCAACAAATGAATCCAAAGTTTAGAAGCAAATAACTGCAGTTCCTGAGTGATGTCACAAATCTGTTCTTGCAGGGGATTTTGGAGTCCCATCGATGGCGGTCTCCATGCTGGAAAGGCTGTCTCACCCTAACTTTCAGTCAAACTAACGAGATGGAGCTGAGGCGGGTTTTAAGCCTGTTGACAAATGTGTGTATGTGATTTCTGGTGCTTCTGCAGCCAGCCCTTAAGAGGACACTCACTGAACTGCAGGATTTTGAACTTCCGCATTGGCTTCATTTTTCAACACAGGAGGTTGTATCCTCACGAGAGACCACAGCTGAAAGACTTTCTTTTTTCAAAGATTTATTTTCAGGCTTTTTATGCCTTTATTGTAGAGATAGAGTTGGAGATCAGAAAGAAAGCAGGGAATGACATGCGGGAAAGTACCAACAGGTCAAATTTGAATTGAGGACGCTTGCTTGGAGGACTACAGGGGGACATGAGCCCTAACCACTCTGCCACTGCCGCCCATAAATTTAGGCCTTTCTTATTCCATCTGTAGGTGGATTTATGACCTTCTGACAGGCAGACTTCAGTCATTAACGACAAATACTTATCCCATGTTGTCCTTAAGGCTGGAGCTCCTTTAGGCTGATGTTTCAGTCAATTCACATGATTGTGTTTGCCAAACACCACGACTTCATCATTGTGAAGTTTGCACAGGACACTAAGGTGATAGGTCTGATTACTAACAATGACGAGGTTGCCTTGGCCTTGACAACAACCTATCCCTTAAAGAGCCCATATTCTGCCCTTTTTGGGGTTCATATATTTAATCTATGTACCTACTAAAGTATGTTCACAATAGCTAAAGTTTTTAAAAAGTGTCTGTTTTCATGTCCTGCCGCTCCATGCACCGGCTCGCTTCTGACTCTCTCTCTAAGGCTCTGTAGTGCCCACGTTCAGAGTCCCCACGTGTGCCAAGTCTGATCTGATTGGTCGGCCTGTCGGCTCTGTCGTTATTGGTCAGCCGCTCAGCACGGTTCCTGGAAATGTCCCGCCTCTTTTACCATATTGGGAATGCAGCCACTTTGGCTCCGAGGGGAGCATAAACATTAGCACCTTAGCACTACTGTGCTACCGCAGGCTACGGCATATCGTGGGCGTGCTACAGAAGTTAATGGGCGTGCAACATGAGCTGCTGGGCCACAACGAGCCAATGGGCTTAGATCAGTGATATCACACTGACAATGACGTTGGACTGACACATTTTTTTCGAGGGGGGCTAGAACCGAGCGTTACATGCGGCTAATGCTACAGCTAACAGGAGGACGTAGGAGAAGCCGCGTTTCAGCTGACTTTGAATTATTGCGCATAGATGTGACTAAACATGCACAGGACACTTAGAAAACACACTAAAGAGCAGATAAAACCAGAAAAAGAAGAATATGGGACCTTTAAAATTGCTAAAATAAAGGAGCTTCTACAGTAATATATTTCAGGAAATCTAAACCTGCCATCTTCTTTACTACTACTAACTACCAAGGTGGGAAACAAAGGTGTCACATGTACCACCATAAACTTCAAAATACAAACCAGAGTGAAGCAGGTGCTCATTAAATGAAGCCTGATCATAAGATGCTTATCTAACTGACTGACTGTTTCCTCTCCCTGTAGAACCACTGTGCTGGCTGCTGTGGCCTTCCTGGATGCCTTTCAGAAGGTGGCAGACATGGCCACCAACACTAGAGGTAAGGTAACACCTGTGTGTGTGTGTGTGTGTGTGTGTGTGTGTGTAAGCTCAGAAAATATACACAGCCGCTGGTCTGGTTCTGTTCTTCAGAAGCAGCTTTCACACGGCCGCGCTGTCAGGAATGTGGCTGAGATATCATCGAGCAGTCGACTAAATTCTCCTCGACCTGATGAAAGTGTTTCCAGCAGCCTCCAGATACACTCTGTTCACCGTCTTCAAAGCAGGACGCACTGCACTGTTTATACAGACAAACATTTAGATTTATGTTGAAGAGGTCAACAGGAGGTATCTCTTTGGAGTCCTTAATGCAGGAGATCAGTGAGGAGTCCAGATGTGCTGCAAACAAACATGAGCTGTTAGATGTTAGTGTGTCAATGTCTGAATTCTCTTTGTTAAAGGAAGAATGTGCAACATTTTCAACATAAAACAGCAGAAATCCAGTCTGTCCTGTGTAAATGTGTCTCTGAGTCCTGACTGTCTACAATGAGGGAGAAGCTCGAGTCCCGCTGGCTGTGTTGTTGTCAGAGCCGTGTTTACATGGACGGGACGGCCGGCTCCTCCCCTTGTGTATAAAAGCTGTTTTAGTCAAGAACTAGAGAGAAGAAGAAGAACATACTCACTGATTATTTGGATGTTAGTAAGAGTTTTTAGATCACGCTCATTCTGTGTCAGTTTACATGAAATGTGAAGCTACGAGCTAACTAAAGAGCGCTAACATTAGCATGCTAACACAACAATGCAGGACACAGGTGATGGAGGGGGGTTGGAGTTGTGTTGCTGGAGGAGACTATACACACTCCTTTCCTTTTGATTCAACAGTAACATAAGGGTTCATGTGGACACTGTTTCATGTATGATAAAATAGTAGCCGTGTGACCCGGCTGAGTCAGGTCGATGTGTAGTTTTTGTAATAAACGACGAGCAATGATGAAAACTCAGAGTGTGATTGTTGTGTGATAGACACTCAGAGTGTCTATCTCGCCGGGATAGAGGATAATAAATAATACTAAAGATGAACCTTAAGCATCCTTTTTTTTTTTGCACAAAAGTCCACTGAAAATTCTTGTGTTTGACTTTCTGTTCGTGAGAACAGGCTGCAGATATTGAGTGTGTGATGCTGAAATCTGGGCTCTGGCTCTAATGTGTGTGTGGGCCGAGAGCAGAGCGGGTCAGACAAACGCTGCTCGCCCACTGAAGACAATCTGAACACTTGTGGCACCATCGAGAGTGTGAAACAGGGAATTTCTCCTCCTGCTGTGAATTATTGGATGCAGCTGCCAGACAAGTGTGTGTGTGATGCTGATGTGTGTGTGTGTGTGTGTGTGTGATGCTGATGTGTGTGTGTGTTTGTTTGTGTGTTTTCGGGCCCCAGGTGGGATCTTACAGAGGGGGATACAGGAAGAGGCTCGTGCTGCTTTTACAGGCCCAGACAGGAAATCACCGAGCTCTGTCAGCTCATTACACACGCCGCTACCCCCTGCCACACACACACACACACACACACACACACACACACACACACACACACACACAGGGACCCAAAATAAAACATAAATGAAGTTTGCACGAAGATGCAGCGTGTGCATCAGAGTGCTCTTTGTACTTTCTGTACTGATGAGTCATTCCTCCTCGAGTCACATTTTGTCACATTGCTGCACAGTGCTCTGCTCTTTCTCCGTCTGTGATGTTCTCTAATAGATCCGTTAAATGGATGGAGGCAGCAATAATGATGCTCTCTGTCTTCCTGCCTTTTGCTATATCAATGTGTGTGTGTGTGTGTGTGTGTGTGCGTGTGTGCGTGTGTGAAGCAAGCCCAAAGGGTACTGATGATCCTGCGCTCTGCTTTTGTACTGACTCTCCGTTTATTATGTGTTTTTATTGAGCGTGAAAACCACATTTTATGCGCACTGAAGAATATTCATCAGCTGGGTTTTTAATGAAAACACAAAAAAGTCTGTCTGATGATTAGACGCTGCAAAATGTCATGCATGGCGGACATGTTTTAAATGTCTGAAGGCAATGCATGGCCATAAATGATTGTTTTGCAAACAGAAAGTGAACACAGTACACAATTTAAATAAAAAATAAAAATAAAAAATGTGCAAAAAATAGATAGATATCACAATATAGATTTTAAAACATAGATCAGCTGAGAGCTGCAGTTTTGACAAAAATGTAGTCAGAATATTTGGTGTGCACATAAAGAGCAACATAGAGTCTGACATATATATTGATTTGTCTGATATTATCACGTCGATAACTTAGAAATCTATTCTATTAGTGAATTGTTTAATTTGTCCACTCTCTCTCCCTGGTTTCCGACTCTATCCACTGTCCTATCTCTCCATTAAAGGCACAAAAAGCCCAAAAATAAATATTTGAAATGAGCGTGATCTAGAAACACAGTTAAGCAGTGAGTACAGTATGTTATTCTTCTTTTCTCTAGTCCCTCAATTAAACAACTTTTATACTCGAGGGGAGGAGTCAGCCGGCCGTCCGGGCGATGTAAACAAAGTGAAGATAGGACTCTGAAAACTCTGAAAACATCACAGACAGTGGGACTCGGGTGTGAGCTGAGCTGGTCCTGTAGGACAGCCTAAGTGAGCTACTAGTCTTCTTACAAACTTACATACCTTTCCTTCCTTTCTAAACATTTTCCAGGAGGTCAGATGAGGAAATGAACCGGAGGAATAAAAGAACATTTTCTGCACACGTTAGGAATTATAAACCCCTTCAACTTTCACAGAAGAATTAGCCCTGAGTTACAGAACGTGTAGGCAATAAGGAGCATAAGATGTAGATTATCAACAGTCATGTGCTTTGTAATTATGAGTTATTATAATTGTTGGATTATTAAAAGTTTTTACGATAAAGCAGGATTGCTGGAGCTCCAGGCATTGTTCTCTGCTGGATCTCTAATGTATAGACATTCAGTTCAGATGACAGAGGTTAAAAGAGGCAGCGCAGTGACAGAAACAGTTTTGCTTGTGTGTGTGTGTGTGTGTGTGTGTGTGTGTGTGTGTGTGTGTGTGTGTGTGTGTGTGTGTGTGTGTGTGTGTGTGTGTGTGTGGGAGTGATTTAACAAGGAGGTGAGATCCAGCAGGAGGAAACGTGGAAGTGATCGTTTGCACTTTTTAAACGTGGCACAAACGGTTCTCCTTCCTGTGTGGTGTGTGTTTTACACTTTTAATAACCACCGAGCTGTTTGATAACTCCTCTTTATCGTGTCAAAGAGGAGACTCACACTTATAAACACACTCAGGCGCAGATGTCCCGTCTAGACAAACATTCTGCCCTCAATAATATGACTGATTTCTCGCCCGTTTCCTCTTGGATTGAAAAAGTGTGAAACTTTTTTTTAAAAAGCTGAAAAGCTGTTAAAAAGCAAATTAAAGAGAGAGAGAGAGTCCAACTTCAGTCGCTGCTCCATCTGTAGCTTTGAGCTGCCAGGTTCACTGAGCTCTTGTTTTTTTTGGAGTGGGGAGTGAGACAACAGACGCTGTTTGTCTGTCAGTTCAGATAATGTTATTAATTCTGCCTGATACATAAAAAACTCAGAGACATTCAAGCTTTTGTAACATTTTGGGAATTTTTGGATTTAGAGAGTGCAGATTTCTGATTGGTCTCTTATGTTAGTTTTCTCACCCCTAAATTCCACCTCACTGTGATGAAATGTTCTCTTCTTTGCCGCTACTTTTCCCGTTTGAATCAGGTCCAATCATTGAATTTTACTGGAGAAAAAATTTGCTAAACGACATGGAACAAAAGGCCCAGTCTGCTACGACGTGTAGCCTAGCTTCCATGTCGACAGTGTGACTGGAGCTCAATGAAGGGACGGCCGCGCTGACCGGCATCATCTGTGTAATACCTCACAAAGTACTTCTGAAAATCTGAACGATCCCTTTAAGCTGTGTCTCTTGTTTGTAAGCATTGCTGTGGGAAAATAGGAACTCTTCAAATCCTCTGACGGGTTTATAACAGTGAAGAAAACAATAGTGTACCACTTTCTATTTTTACCGTTTCACTTACAGACTCTGATTTCTTTATTCCCCCGGTGGTACTAATGTTGTGATGATGTGGCTGTGTCTGTCTCGCTTGCTTTGCATTCTGCACACACGCACACACACACACACACACGCACACACACACACACACACACACACACACGCACACACACGCACACACACACACTCTCTGCAGCAGCAGCAGTAAAGCCGGGGTCATTCCCAGGACTCCAACTATGCACAGTTGGCACACGGAAAAGCAGTAAAGTGCCACTGTGAGCTTGTGTGTGTGTGTGTGTGTGTGTGTGTGTGTGTGTGTGTGTGTGTGTGTGTGTGTGTGTGTGTGTGTGTGTGTGTATGATGATCTGATGGTACAGAATGTCTCTCAGTTTTATTGCCAGACTGCCTGCCTGCATCTTATTACAAGGTATCATAATGAATATCATAAATCTTTTTAATATTCACACTGCAACACACACACACACACACACACACACACACACACACACACACACACACACACACACGCATGTATGCTTTCATGCGTGCTTCTACATTTGCACAGCACTTCATCTTTACGACTCGTACGACTTTGTAAAGTAGCGAGATAACCGGGTGTATATATTCTGACGCAGGTTCAGCTGCATTTAAAGTGAGGATTTGCATTAATTTAATTTAAGAGATGTATTCAGAGCATGTTCACATTTTACTCAAACAACAAGAACAAGTGGAAAACAGCAGAATATCCACCTTTACTTTATTCCTTACATGTTGGCTCAATGAAACAGAAAGTTGAAGGTTCAGTCTCGAGGCGTCTTCGGTTTCTGTTCTGTATGAGTATCATGACATAATTTACCCCTTATTTATAAACTCTCTCCCACAATGAAAACTGATATCGACTTTATTTTAAAGGAAAAAACCCTGAGGTCACAGGAATGACAACATTTCAGGAGGGAAAAAAACCTAGAGGTCTTTAAATAAACGAAGCCGCTTT